CCCAATTATGTCAAAGTTTTGACACGGCTGTGCTTCGAAACGTCAAAGTAGTCTATGCAAACGTCGTTTAGTGTTCGAAAAGAGTGAATAATTGACTAGTTTAGAGTGTTGTCGCATACAAGCCAGTGTCGTGCTCGAAGGTCTCGGCACAACATCGACACTCAACACAGTCCGATGTATTTGTTGTGCCGAGCCCTTCGGGCACGACACTGATTTCAACGTGACAAACAATGATTTGACTAGTTTAGAGTGTTTTTTTGCGTTGAAACCAAATAGATCGACCTGAGTTGGGTGTCGATGTTGTGCCGAGCCTTTTGGGCGCGCCACTGGCTGTGCGCTTCCGCCGACTCGGCAAACAAACGCCGGCCGCCAGCGTTCGGCTTCATGAATGATTTACAACGGTCGATGTCACTCGCATCAATCAAATTAGCTCAATCAAGTTGCGTCAGTTTACGCAGCCGATTAGCGCGCCAACTGCGAATTAATTCGAGCAAACAGACCTCGGAAGTGTGCTAACGAGGCCCGTTAATCCGGCACTGATGTACCGAGATTCGGCCCTAATCCCGCCCGGATTTTCGCGGATTAGCGCGCCACCGTTTAAATGGGCGAGCGGGCGCCACGCTGTTCAGTCGCTGTGCGCGCCCCCAACTCTCCCCAACCCGCTCAGACGCCCTTTGAGGGAAGCGCGCGTCGTCGCCCGCTGGCCATTTGCCCACGCACTAAACCGCTCCCAAACTAGTCCGGTCGCGTCTTCTTTGCTCTTCTGCTCCGCGGGTGCCAACCACTGAACCAACACGGATTACTTAATGCGGCGTTGCGCAAACTACTCCACACATACAGGGTGAGACGCGCCCATTTTTGACCGGAGGGGAGGCTGCATTGCTGCCGTTCTGATCGCTCAGAGCCGCCATGCACGAGAAGGGGTTCATCAACATGTTCAGGGGCACGGCCCCCCAGATCGTCGCCGTGCTGGGCAGTAAGTACCCGATCGAGCGCAACTGGTTTTTTTGCATTTTGATTGCCGATGTTTAATGGATGAGGCACGAGCATCGGTTTTCCTCTCACTGAGTCTGCAGCTTTTGTGCGGTGCGCCATGAAACTGCCGCAAATCGGGTGGGCTGCGCCCCAACTGCTGGCCGTTTTGACCGGTAAGTTGCGCCTCCATCTAGCGGCCGGCCGCGCCACTCACCACCCTCGCGCCCCCATCTAGCGGCCGACCGCGGCACTCACCACCCGAGGGCGGTTGCCAGGCGACGCGCCCCGAAACTGGGCAGGGCCGAACTGGTCCCGCTGTTGGCCGCTCCACCCTGTACACTCTTCAGTCTAAATAAAACCAGCTGATTCGCCGCTGCCGGTCAGTGTGCCAGCGCAGGCAGTGACGTCGCGGCCGAGCCTAAAATTAGACGTCCACACGCGGTTTGTCCAGTGGAGCGCGGGACAGTTTTCCGGACGGGACACGCTCGTCCAATGCTCGTGTGCAGGTTCAGCGGTGCCCAACAACATGATCCTCGAGAAGGGCCAATTGCTCTCGGTGCTGGCCAGTAAGTTGCCCCCCCGGTCTCTCTCACTCTCGCTCGGCCGCCGCACGTGCAGAAGCGAGAGGCCGCATAACCCTAATTAGGGTTAATGCCATTTAATTGCTCGCGGCCACATGTTTACATTCCGCCCAATTATCGCTCTCATTATCATCGTGGTTACGCTTGTTATTGTGGCGTCGGCAAACGTGCACGTCAAGGCTACCAGCACACAACAATTAATTGTTTAAACAATGCCGGGTTTATGCAAATGTTTCGTCAATTTTGACAAATTTCCGGCAACGCGATGGACCAGTTCGGATGCGTCCCTATCCGGCCACGCGCCTGATTCAGTTGGGCCAACGTCACGTGCATCACACCGACTGCGTTCCGAATTGCCATCTTTTTTTGGCATTTCGCCGTTTTTTCAGCGGCAAAAACGCATGTTCCTCACGTGGTGTCTTCGAATTGACCAAACCCGAATGGCAACGTCGCATTTTCTTCAAAGTGTTCGGTGACTTTGACCAGCTGCGTCCCGGAATTTTCACATTTTTTCCTTTCTTGGCACAATTGATGGAAACGCAAATTTTGTGGCCGACTCCGTTCCAAATTGCGCAGGAAACAAAAATTCCTTATGTGGTGCCCTCCATTTCCTACTCTACTGCGTTCCGAATTGCCATCTTTTTTTGTCAATGCGCAGTTTTTTCAACGGCAAGATCGCATGTTGCTCACGTGGTGTCTTCGAATTGACCAAACCCGAATGGCAACGTCGCATTGTCTTCAAAGTGTTCGGTGAAGCACAATTGATGGGAAAGTAAATTGTGTAGACTCGGTTCCAAATTGCGCAGGAAACAAAAAATCCTTATGTGGTGCCCTCCATTTCCTACTCAACTGCGTTCCAAATTGCCAACTTTTTCGCTAGTTTTTCCACTCATTTATCCACAAACAAGTGGCTTAAATAACAGAATTTCAATATTTTTTCAACTTTTTTGCGCCAATTTTTTGGTCGTAAATTACGTTATTTCAAGGGTATTTTCTGCTCGACTGCGTTCCAAATTTCCTTCTTTCTCGCCGGTTTTTCAACATTAAATAATCATTCATCCATTCATAAACCGGCGGCTCTAATGGCGCTTGCATTTTGCAGAGTAATAAAGTTTCCTTACGTGGTGCCCTCCATTTGTGACCAGCTGCAGTCGGGAATGTCAACATTTTTCTTTTTTTTTGAGCACAACCGGTGAAGGATGCGCATTTTATGCGGGTTTTTCGAGTAAATCACGTTGTTAGAAATGTGTTTTCCACTCAACTGCGTTCCAAATTGTCTACTTTTTCGCTAGTTTTCCTTAATAAGCTTGCGGCGCACCAGGATTTAAATAATTTTTCAACTTTTTTGCGGCAATTTTTTCGCCGTAAATTACGTTATTTCAAGGGTATTTTCTGCTCGACTGCGTTCCAAATTTCCTTATTTCTCGCCGGTTTTTCAAGATTAAATACTCATTCATCCATTCATAAACCGGCGGCTCTAATGGCGCTTGCATTTTTCATAGAGTAATAAAGATTCCTTACGTGGTGCCCTCCATTGCTGACCAGCTGCGCTGGCCAATGTCAACATTTTTCCTTTTTTGGGCACAACCGATGAAAGATGCGCAATTTATGAAGGTTTTTCACGTAAATCACGTTATTTGAAATGTGTTTTCTACTCAACTGTGTTCCAAATTGCCTACTTTTTCGCTAGTTTTCCTTAATAAGCTTGCGGCGCACCAGGATTTAAATAATTTTTCAACTTTTTTGCGGCAATTTTTTCGCTGTAAATTACGTTATTTCAAGGGTATTTTCTGCTCGACTGCGTTCCAAATTTCTTTCATAGAGTAATAAAGTTTCCTTACGTGGTGCATTGGTGACGATTTCGAGTAAATCACGTTGTTTCAAATGCGTTTCCTACTCAACTGCGTTCCAAATTGCCCACTTTTTCGCTAGTTTTCCTATTCATTTATCCACAAAGAAGCGGCTTTAATAAGCTTGCGGCGTTCGAGGATTTTTACGATTTGCGTTTTTGCCAGCGAAAGTTCGCCATTCACTAGCAATCCTTATCGTGGTGCCTTCCAATAGGCAAAAGTTCAGCGGCAACGTCGCATCTCCTGCGTTGACCAGTTGTCCGCCCATTTTTCACATTAATTCAAGTGGACTGTGTGCTCGACTGCGTTCTAAATTGCGATCCTTTCTTCGATCCACACAACTTGTTTTTTACGCGAAAATTCTCGAAAAATTCGCAGGTTTTTCAAGTCCAAAGGCAACGTCGCATTTGATGCACAAAGTCAATCGTTAACTGTTGAATTTAGTCTGGCAACTTGTCAAATATCGCACTCAGACAAATGCTCTGTTGACACAAACACACTGTTGCCGTTTTCGGGTCTACAAAATTGGCGATTTTGTGTGCGCAGGTACAATCGGGGCGATTTCCGACGGCATGCACTACGGCTGGTCGGCGCCCTTCATGCCCATCCTCGAAAAGGAGGACTCGCACATCAAGATCTCGCACAGTGACGTCACCTGGCTGGAATCGATCTACCTCATAGGCGGCCTGGCCGGCCTGCCAGTGACGATCTACTGCGTGGATCGGCTGGGGCGCAAAGCCTCCATCCTGCTCGCCGCCGTCATTTCCCTAATCGCYTGGATCCTGATCGCACTCGCAGACGACGTCATCTACCTGTACGTGGCCAGGTGAGTGGCTGGCAGCGCCCTCTAGCCGCCAGTGCATCAAGCGCTGTTGACAGGTTCATGGTGGGGCTGTCAGGTGACGTGGCCTTCGTGGCCGCCCCGATGTACATTGCGGAGATCGCCGACAAGCGCATCAGAGGCTTCCTGGCCGGCGTCATCTACGTCATGATGCTGGTGGGGATCCTGGTGGTGTACGCAGTTGCGCCGTTCGCCCCGTTCTACGCCTGCTCGGTGATCGGCTCGCTGTTCGTCATCATCCAGCTGGTGACGTTCCCGTTCATGCCCGACTCCCCCTACTACCTGCTGCAGAAGACGAAGAGCGACAAGGCGAAGCGGCATCTGATGCGGCTGCGCACCGGCGAGAACATCGACAAGGAGCTGGAGGAGATCACGGCGGCGGTGCTGCGCCAGCGCAGCGAACGCGGCCGCCCCCAGGACCTGGTGCTCTCCAAGAGCAACCGCAAGGCGCTGATCATCATGACGGTGCTGAACGCCGCCCAGCACTTCAGCAGCATCTCGGTGATGCTGATGAATCTGCACTCGATCCTCAAGGAGGCCGAGTCCGAGTACGTTTCGTTCGAGATCGCCGGCATCATGTTTTCGAGCTTCATGCTGATCGCCGCCACCATCGCCGACTTTGTGGTGGACAAGTGCGGGCGCAAGGGGCTGCTGATCAGCTCCAGTCTGCTGAGCGGACTGGCGCTGCTGGTGCTGGCGGTCTATTTCACGCTGAAGAACAGCGGTCAGGACGTGGGCGGCATCTCCTGGATCCCGGTGGCCGCCGTCATGGTCTACGCCGCCGTCTTCAAGTTCGGCCTCGGCATCATCCCGATCGTGATGACCGCTGAGCTCTTCCCCGCCAAGGTCAAGGCCATGGGCATGACCTTGGCCGACTTCTCCTATCTCTTCTTCGGGCTGATCTCGGTCGAGCTCTACCAGCGCCTSATCGCCGTCTACTACTTGGACCTGCCCTTCTACATCTTCGCCTCCTCCACGCTGCTCACCGCCATCTTCTCCTGGTGGTACATTCCGGAGACCAARGGGAARACGCTGGAGGAGATCCAGTTCATCCTCAAGGGGGAGCCGATTCCGTCGAAGGAGGCGGACCTGGAGAGCAGCGAGGGCGTGGCCGAGGCGAAGGACAAGGACATCGGGCTGGAGGAGCTGCCCCCCACCAAGGAGCCCGTTTAGTGCCTTAGTTAGCAGGACCGCTCCTGGCCTGGACACCTGTGATGACGTAGTTTTACGCAATAAATCGAATCCGACAATATTGCTTGGCGTCTCGTTGCCCTGTCCCGCCGGTTTGCGCGTCCAAACTGACCAAAGTTCCATCGCAAACTCACTAGAACAGTAAGGCTGGATTTGCGAACTTTGCAGTTGATGCCGTTGGTCGTTCGTGGTTTGCAGTTGCTGAACGCAGTTCGTCGTTTCCGTGCCGTTGGTCAAAATCTGATGTTTCGGCTTTAAAGTCGCTAACCGTGCGCCGTCGAGTCGGTTTGAGGAACAGGAACGACCGGAATTTCTGGGATTTGTTGCCAAAAGGCGCGCAAAGCGGAAAGTTGCGAACGCAGCATTCCGGCCTTGGGCTGTTTGCCGGGTTTATTTCGCTTGTGCGATGCCTTCCATCGACTAGAAGTGATCGAAAAGTTCAGTTTTTGTCGTCGCTGTGCCTGCAGACTTACCGCCAGTGAGTATTTCGCATTATTTGCGCACGAAAAAAACATTGAAAAGCGAGCAATCGCGAACGCAGCTCTTTGCGTTTGAACGAGTGGCGTCGGCTTTCTTGGTGCAGCTCGCGAAGGTTGCGAT